TCTTCAGCTGTTGCTTCTCTAGTTTCTAAATGATCTTAGACATTAACACAGCGTTGTTGGGATTCTGAGGAGGCCGAATTTTTACCGGGGTTCGGCTGTAATGAAGAGCATCCTCGTGGGGATGGGAGAGGGAACTAAAACCTGTTTCCTACTGAGTAAGGGGCGTGGTGTGGGATGGCTGTAATGCTTGATTATTTTCTTTTTGTGCATATTGACGCTAATATACATGGCAGGATTCCAGAGAAGGTTATGCTAAGGTGTTGGAATGAAATGTATCGTTGTTGGGATGGGACAGGGGACAAAAGTTCTACTAATTGAGGAAGGGGCTGGGTGCGGGGAGGCTGTAATGCTTGGTGGGACACAGATAGAGATCTGATTCTCTTCTTTTTTGGGGTTTGTTTTCTCTCACTTAAATTAAAAAGGGAGATGTTTTGTTTTCCGCAACTCCAACCTAATTTCAATACAAAACATCCGTAATTTTGCTGATGTTTCTATTTAAAAAAGAAATTTTTTTGCTGATGTTTCTAGTTTGAAGAAAACCCAAGGAAACTCACATTATGAGGTGCCTGTGGAGAGATCATGATCTGAGTTCCATCTTTTTCCTGGAAATTTTCTTTTTCACATCAATATGGTTATATTTCATGCTTAGGGTTTTCAGTTCGGTAATTTGTATTCTAGTTCCCATCTTTTTCCTGTGGAGAGATCATGATCTGAATTCCTAGCTTTCCCTAGCATTTTTTTTTTCTCTCATCAATATGGTTTTATTTTCTTGCTTAAGGTTTTTGGTTCAGTAAATTTGTATTCTGCTTTACCATTGGACAATCTGTGTTTACTGGAATTTCAAATTTTTAATTTCATTGATTGAAATCTGTTTAACTCTGGGATTTAAGTTGCATTTAAACGTTTTGAAACTTCTAGGCAGTTTCAATTTTGATTTGACTATATGTTCATTTGATTTAGTTATTGGCTTTGGTTAGGGGATATGATCATACGATTTGACTCAACTAAGGTGGTATTTACCTATATATTCCTGTATATTTCTTGTTATCTTGATCAGTCTGTTGTGCTGTGTGCTACTGTTAAGCAACTTTGATCTGCTGTCAGGATTTAAGCTGTGTTAAATGTGTTGAAACCTATAGCTAGGTCAATTTTGATTTGAGTGTATGTTTGTTTGATTTTTCAGTATGGTCTTTAGTTAGGGTTTCTGGTTGCTATAATGGGATGCAAGCAAGCGGTTTGGCTAAACTAAGCTGGTGTTGACATATAATTTTGTCTCTATTTTTTGATATCTCTATCTGCCTGTTGTTCTGGTACTACTATTAGTCAACTTTCGAGCCGCTGTCAGGAATTAAGGTGTGTCTAATGTTTTGTAAACCTTTAGCCAGTTTCAATTTTGATATGCGTGTGTTTATTCAATTTGTAAGTTATGATCTTTAGTTAGTTTTCCTGGTTGTGGTAATGGGATGCACTCATGAGATTTGGCTTAAAAAGATGGTATTTGCATATGTTTTCAAGGATATATTCGTTGATATCTCAATCAGTCTGTTGTGCTGGGTGCTACTATATGTCAATCTTCGAGCTGTCAGGAGTGATGAATTTGGATTGTGACGGAATAGCATATTAAGGTAGAATATGGGGCAATTTATCTTCGCATAACTGAGATGCAAGCAGATGTAGAAGAGATACTTTGAATTGTGAAGAGTCATTTAGCTTTCGCCTAGTTGGTCTTGCCTTTTCAGCTCTGAGCTTTTATAATAATTAGAAAGTGAACTTTGCAATAAGATAAATATCAGTAGCAGTTTTCGAAAATAGTAGATATGCGTAATATTAGTGTTGAATTCCTGTTTGGTGGTGTTATCTAAATAGTGCTCTTTAAATTCAACTGAGTTCTAAGTAGGGTCGGTTTTACAGGTACAGTGACTAATCAGAAATTGTTTGATAAGAATTTAGAATGGCTGCTTCCGAAGAGAATAGTGCCTTGTTCCCAATTTTTATCTTGACAATAATGGCACTGCCTTTGGTGCCTTATACAATACTGAAGTTATGTCGTGCTGTCTCAAGGAAAACAAGGAGCATACACTGTCAGTGCTCTGAGTGTGCACGTTCAGGAAAGTATAGGAAATCTATATTTAAGCGGGTAAGTTTTTCCAATTAACTATTAATGTATTGATCATTTGAATGCCTGAACCATTCCAGAAAGTTTCTGAATTAGACAATTTTTATTCATCAATCATTTGATTTCTTTGTGTAGATATCAAACTTTTCAACATGCAGTAACTTGACACTCGTACTGCTTTGGGTTGTAATGATATTCCTGGTTTACTACATCAAGAACATGAGTGGGGAGGTAATTGTTTTTCAACTCAATCTTAAGTGTTGGTTCCATCCAGGAACAAGTGGTTGTTTTACTTATTTTGAAATGCTGCTCCAATCATGTCCGGGCTTTTGACTGAGTTTCATATTACGCCAATGCATCCTGAATGTTCTTTTCTTATTTATTCAGATACAAGTTTTTGAACCATTCAGTATTCTTGGTTTAGAACCTGGAGCTTCTGACTCAGAAATCAAGAAGGCCTATAGAAGGCTGTCAATTCAGTATCATCCTGATAAAAATCCCGATCCAGGTTGGAGGTGTTCTAGTTCAGCAGCTTATATGCGCTTGCTTATGTCTCTTTTAATTGGCCTAAAGGATGCGGCTTCTTACCATTAATTTTGTAAAATAACTGCCCTTTACATTTTTATTTTTTCAGAGGCACACAACTACTTTGTGGAGTACATATCTAAGGCATACCAGGCTCTTACAGATCCAATATCCCGTGAAAACTTTGAGAAATATGGCCATCCAGATGGCAGACAGGTAGTTTATTGTTCTTTCTTAAACTGAAAGATGGTTTGTCAGCCATTTATATCTAATATCTTAACATTCTGTTTTAGGGATTTCAAATGGGCATAGCTCTGCCTCAGTTTCTTCTGGACATCGATGGGGCATCTGGTGGCATACTCTTACTCTGGATTGTTGGTGTTTGTATTCTTTTGCCATTGGTGATTGCTGTCGTATATCTCTCAAGGTCATCAAAGTATACAGGAAATTATGTCATGCATCAAACGCTGTCCACATACTATTACTTCATGAAACCTTCTTTGGCTCCGAGGTACATTATTTTATTCATTAGAAAAGAGTTAGCATTAGGTACAAATATGGACACAAATGCATTATGATGAGGATGCATGTTAGACACACAGATGGACATGGATGTATACACATCTAATATATTTAGTAAAAAGGTGCATGCTACCAATGTCAGTAAAAACCATTTTCTTCACAGGTTAGTGTCTTATGTAACTTGACAGCATCACACTACTAGTATAGAAGAATTAGTGATGTCCATATTTGAGAAATGCACTTTTTTCAGTACTTTTTCTTCCTCCAATTTGTGAATTTATCTGCAATATGTTCACATGTAATGCTTATCGAACATGATTTTGATTAAATAGCAAAGTTATGGAGGTTTTTACCAAAGCTGCTGAATACATGGAGATTCCAGTTCGTAGGAGTGATGATGAACCTCTTCAGAAGCTCTTTATGTCAGTTAGGAGTGAGTTAAATCTGGACCTCAAGAACATTAAGCAAGAGCAAGCTAAATTTTGGAAGCAGCATCCTGCTATCGTTAAGGTGATATTTTATATGTTTAGTAATGGAAATATATTTGACTGATTTTGCCTGAAGGCTCATTTGATTACATTTTGTTCACTTTCTCTTCAGACAGAGTTGTTGATTCAGGCTCAGTTAACTAGGGAGTCAGCTGTCTTGTCACCAGCTTTGATAGTTGATTTCAGACGTGTTCTAGAACTTGCACCTCGCCTCCTTGAAGAATTAATGAAGGTAATTTCTATAGCTATATTATTATTATTCTTCAAATGACATCTAGTGTTTCTGCACGATTCAATAGGCTTACACATTATACCCTTAGTTTAACCTGTTCAAATATGTATTTTTACTTAAATGCAAGTGTTACAATTTCCCAGTTGCTTCTGTCTGTTTTGGTATTTATGTACTCTCCCTTTTGATGTTATTAATCCTATGTTTGCAATGCAGATGGCAGTTATACCGCGAACTGCTCAGGGTCATGGATGGCTGAGGCCTGCAATTGGGGTGGTTGAGCTTTCCCAATGCATCGTTCAGGTGCTGATTCTGTCTCTGGAGTTTGTATATTAGTTGCTTATTGACATTCTTTGGTTGGGTCATCATGTATAAATTGTGGTATTCTTTGATTCTCTTTGGATATTGAGCACTTCTGAGCTTATTGACTTGATCCCATGCAATGCAAGAACTATCCTCCTAGAATGCACATTTCCTCTCGAATTGTTAAAATGTTTGTTGAATTATTTTTAGTGAGTAAATAAAGTTCGTCTTTAGGTTCATAATCATAATCGTCTACCTTATTTCTTGACGGTGCTGATTCTTAATAATTAATTATGTAGCATGGATATGGAAATATCTAGGATCTGGGCATGTTGAGTTTATAATATGATAGATCATTATCATTTAAATACTACTTATTAAAATCTTTTTATGCTTTATTCTTTTTTATTCTCAGCACTAAATATAGATTCTGCTTGTTCAAATATATTCAATGCAGGCTGTTCCTCTAAGTGCAAGAAAGTCAACTGGAGGATTTACTGAAGGAATTGCTCCCTTCTTGCAGCTGCCACATTTCAGTGAGGCTGTTGTAAAAAAGATAGCACGCAAGGTAAATAACTATTACCTTATGCTGGATCTCATTATCCAGGAACGCATCTATTAAAAAAAACATGAATGCTAAGTTAAATGTGTCTTTATGGGTGATGTAGTTGGTGCGATTTGTATTACTTCATAAACTTACAGACATAGTGGGATGAACTTTGACTTGATTTTCTGACAAATGTACAAACTATTCGGTGTCATGTATTTACGGTATAATGCAGAAGCACAGTCTGATCTAAAGGCTTACCCACTGTGCTGGATGCAGGAACATTTTTTGTGCATACTCATCTATGTTTTAATTGGAATTTTCTTCATTCGTAGTCCAATAAATTACTTACTGTAACCTTTGGGTTTTTTACAGGATTGATTGAGTTTGTTCAGTCTTTATTATTACACATCATTGCATTCGAATTACCTTCTCCTTTATTCTTTTTTTGCAGAAGGTGAGAACATTTCAGGAACTTCGAGACATGCCTTTGGAAGATCGCTCTGATTTGCTTACTCAAGTAGCAGGATTCTCTACTGCTGAAGTACAAGACACCGAGAAAGTGTTGGAAATGATGCCGTCCTTAACGATTGAAGTTACATGTGAGACAGAGGGTGAAGAGGGTATTCAAGAAGGTGATATTGTCACTATTCAAGCTTGGATAACTCTCAAACGTGAAAATGGCTTGATTGGTGCCCTCCCTCATACTCCATACTTCCCTTTTCACAAGGAAGAAAACTTATGGTTTCTACTTGCCGATCCTGTCTCAAATAATGTGTGGTTCTCCCAGAAGATGAATTTCATGGATGAAACTGCAGCTATAACAACTGCTTCAAAGGCGATTCAGGAGACGATGGAGGGGTCAGGAGCAAATATGAAGGAGACAAGTGAGGCAGTTAGACTAGCGATCGATAAGGTGCGAGGTGGCTCAAGACTGGTGATGGGGAAGTTCCAGGCCCCAGTAGAGGGGAATTATAATTTGACTAGTTACTGTTTGTGTGATTCGTGGATAGGCTGTGACAGAAAGTCAAACTTGAAAGTTAAAATTCTGAAGAGAACTAGGGCTGGCACTAGGGGTGGTCTGCCATCAGAGGAGGGAACTCTCATGGAGGATGGAATTGAAGAGGAAGAAGAAAATGAAGATGAAGATTATGATGATGATTACGAGAGCGAGTACAGTGAAGATGAAGATGAAAAGAATATCAAAAAGAAAGGTCCTGCTACCAATGGCTCTGTACCTAAAAGAGGCTCGAGCTCGGAAGGTTCAGGTTCGGACGAGGACTGAGACAAATTCTGTTGCCACACCAAAAAAAAAAAAAAAGCCTTGAATTTTTATATTTATTCATATATATTGTTTACTTAGGAAGAAAACTTCACAAAGCAGAACACTGATAATTGTCCATGTGCCCCTCTGGCATATTCACATAGTTCTGTTAGTGTAGACATGTGTTTAGAATCCATTGTCATTCACCCTTTTTGAATTAAATTTTTTTTAAAGATATTACCATGTTATTTAAACATGTCTACAGTAATTCAAAAAGTTCCTGCTACCAATGAAGATGAAGATGAAAAGGATACCAAAAAGAAAGTTCCTGCTAGCAATGGCTCTCCACCTAAAAAAGGCTCAAGCTCAGAATGGTCAGGCTCCGACGAGGTCTGAGACAATTCTATTTACCATACAAAAAAAACCTTGAATTTTTATATATATTTATATATATATTGTTTACTTAGGAAGAAAACTTCACAAAGCAGCACAGTGATAGTTGTCCATGTGCCCCCCATGCATATTCACACAGTTCTGATGCCGTAGACTGTTTAGAATCCACTGCCATTCACCCTTTCTGAATTAACATGTCTTAGATATTATTAGCATGTTATTTTTATCCATCCTATGTTGGATTTTCTTTTAAAATTCGTTCTCTTTTCATCCTTCGATAGGGAGATGAAAAGGGTAATTGATTTTGGTAAGAAATTTTTTTGGCTGCCATTTTTTTTTTGTCAAGTTGTTTAATTTGAGTTTCTCTGGTTTCTACCATATGTAAAAGAGGTTTCACGTCTCTAATTCAAGACTACATATAGATATATATAGACTAAGAATAGGATGGTATATAAAGCTTGATTCCCTTGCTCTATGTGAAAGAAACATGTACATATACATATATACACTCGCACCCAGAGACATCCACATGTATGGTATGCACCTGATTTTTTTTTTTTTTTTTTCATCGGAGGAGCATGTCTGCGTGTAATTTACTAATTGGACTCTACTCCATTGAAGTACTGAAGGTTATTTGCTCTATCAATTTGGTCTGCTTCGTCATGCTTATTTTCAGCTACTTATTATCTCATGGCCTGTTAATCTGGTGTGTGTATATATATCTGTGTGTGTGTATATATATGTACACATACACACGCACGGTTCGAGTGATGGCAAGTTTATTTGTATATATATATATATATATGTATGTACACATACACGCACGGTTTGAGTGATGGCAAGTTTACAGAGTTCTCCTTCTGCTATTTTCGTGAACTATAAGATGAAAATTACTAATGAGGTGCTTGGCATCTGTCCAGGGTTCTAACGATGTACTTGCATGCGTGTACACACACATATATATAATAAAAACACACAGACACACTTATATACACGGTCGGAACGATGGCAAGTTTGCAGAGTTCACATTCTGCAACTTCAGGTAATTTTAAGACCAAAATTACCATGTACGTGCGGGCACATGCCTTCTGCTAATGTGTATTATATCTTCTTAAAGTTCAATTTCAGTGTTAAATAACAACTGAGCACTTACAGGGAACATATGAAATATATAACTCTTGGCACGGGCATACATATATATATATATATTATTTGATTTTTACAAATTAAAAGGAAAGGAAATGAAAGTAATTTCTTACAACTAAACAATACCATGTAGATTAACTTTCTCATAAACCCTTGTTCATAACTTGGGAATTCAGTGGAATTTTCATCCATACTCTTCATTACGAAATTTACTTCGGTACAATCAAATTCAGTCCTAGAAAGTACAAGAAGGCGAGAATGACTCTGCTTTCCTCCTTTAAGTCTCAAGCTGTGAAACAAGAGATAAGCAGTAGTACATCTACCAGCTAGGTCTGATCTCTTAATTTACACCCACAAGTGATCAAACTAACAATCAGAGTTTTCATATATCACCTTCATTATCACAAGAACCAAATCAGTATTCCCTCACCTGTATATGACTGCAGTGACTTTCCACAGAGGACAAGAACAGGATTTACATGATGTGGACAATTGTGTAGCTTACTAAGAAGAGATGTTAGCTTCAATGCTTTCTGCTTTTAAACTTGATTGAGCTTGCACATATAGATCATCATTCTCGATCTTTTCCTTGTTATTGCTAATTGCTCCTTTGTTGTCCTCAGTGGATTCATTAAGCTGCTTCGCTTGAATCCTGACACGCTTTCCTTTGATGTACCTATACTCCCATTTCGGTGGGGGGTATTTTTTCACTAGTTTGTCATATTTATCTAACATACCCAGTTTCTGGAACACTTTCCCAACCATTGTCACAATTGGGGCATTTGGTCTGATACCAAGCTCCTCCATGTCAGCAAATATCTGCAGAAGTAAATAACTAGAAGTTAATAGTTGTGGATACAGTAAAAGAACAAGAATCCAGTATAGCAAGTTCCGATTTGCAAGCAGATTTAAATATATTGCTGCAATTAAATTATTTTGTTGCTCATGGAAATGCTTAATAGGAGCAGGAATCCTTGAGATGCATTACTCAAACAGTTGTACTCTATTCTTTTTCACTCAAAAGTCATCTTAAGAAAACGTGTAGTACTATTTGGGTAGATACGCATTACTAACGGAAGAAACAATTTTTTTTTGCTATGACTAACTAGCTGTTTATAGAACGGTCTAAATCTCGGCAGGCATCTTGTTTGGAAGTATTAGACACTTAAGTTTTCTGGTACATTGTTTGGGCAGCTCCTCAAATATACAAAGATATACAGCAACAGAAGGCATAATGCATAGTGATGGGGGGCTTGAATAAGAGTTGAAATTGCAGCAATTTTATATTAGGTAGTAGAAAACAATAGTTGCAACAACAAAGTTTAAGATAAGATGGCAACACAATACCTCGAACAATTTATCATGCATTTCCCTTTTATAGTAAATAGAAACCATTTTCTGAAAGAAAATACGGGGGGTGCTCTCTATGTTATCGGAGAACATCTTTGTCCATAGCTCTTCAGCCTCATCAATTCTCCCATCCTCTGCCAGAGCATTCAATAAAGTGAAATAAGTTGCCATTGTTCTCCCCTGACCTTTGCTTAACATCCATTTCGTCACCTACAATCCCACACAAGTATTCTCCTTAACTAGAAATTTATTATGCAGATTGTCACCAATAACAAAAAATAGACTGGATTTCTACCCTACTTCACAGAGAGGGCAAAGTCTGCCAAATTGTTATCTACCTGAATTATTCTCTTCCATTCTCGTTCATACTCCAGAGTTTTCAAGGCTTTCTTCACTACGATCAGAGGAAATTCTAAATCCCAGGCGATAAATGAGTCAAGAGCCCCATAAATTTCCTCTTTGACATTTGATAACCCTTTTATCTACATAAGCATACCCTAAAAAGATCATATATATGGAACAAAAATTCATTTCTACTCCATTATTATTGTTTATTTAAATATTATATTCCACCAGAACATCAAGCATAGAAAGCTCCAGATTGAAATTACCAGCTGTTTGTATGTACTTTAACAAAAGCTAACTGGCAGAATGCAGAATTCACAAGCAATAAAGAAGGAAGTGTTTATGAACTTACACAGGTAACAAGTTGCGCTGATTTAGAGATAGTCCCAATTTTCTTTCTTGATTTCCATACCCGAGGATATCTCGGTCTTGGACCTTTAGCAGCACATACCTAAGTTGATCGACAAGCTTTCAAGGTCAACCAAAACTGAAAGAACTAAGTTGCTAAAATTTGAAAAAAAAAAAGGATAAGAAAAAAGATCTGAAAAACCATCACTTCTAGTTTTCTAAATTTTCTACTCTTCAGAATCAATGAACTAAAGCTTACAAACCCAATAAAGGAAACTAGTAAAAGCAATGGATTATAAAGGCAGATTTCATAGCACTACTTTAACTGAAAAGGAAAACTCACCACAACAGTGCTAAGACTCCTGGGGACTTCAGGTGATTCTGGTTTTTTATTGAAAAGTGGCACTGAATATCTCAGACAAATCATCCTGAGAAAGCATAAAAGATAAACTGCATTCACTTTTGAAGTTCCTTAAAGAAGGCAAAACTACCAAAGTGAAGGATACTGTGACGTTGACTTAACAGTCAATAGGCCATGGATTTGCCAATGTAATGTTACTGGGGAGCAAATTTTTCTTCCGAAACCAAAAGTATATGCAAGAAAAGTACTTCAATCAACCCTTTGTATACCAATCAAGACTAGTTTGAAGAGTGTAGCAATGGAAATAAACGAAACAAAAAATGAATTATTCCGTGATCAAATTCAAGTAGTGAAGATTGCAAAACATGAAGAGGAAATTGAACTCGAAAACCTACAATAATCCCGAACTAGGAAAATACTCTAGTTCGTGTCGTGCAAATGAAAGAATCCGGCTTCGTGTTCTCTAAATTTATAGTAGCAGTATTAGTATTTGCTAAGATGCTCCAAAAATCGAAAGAGCTTTAAAGTTATTTTTCAGATTCATAAAATTTCTCAAGTAACCAAACTAGCATCGACAGGGATGAAGAGAACGATACCGGACAGCAGGAGTAGTAGCTGAGACCTAACAGAGCTCACAACAAGGAAGGTTTCCTCGAATCGAAACTGTTGAGAACAACCTCATTTGTTAGATATTTCTCTTCCTTCTCGACTTTCCGTCTGATTTTCTCCATATCCAAACAGGTAAAAACGCTGCGTTTCATATCGAAATGCAAACAAGTAAGTGGGTAGTATGGGGTTTCTTGTCTTTTCACAAACGTCAACGTGGCCACTTGTAGCAAAGCTGAGTGGTATAAATGTCAAATTGGCAAATATTACCACAGACCTCATCCTCTTTTAGCTCGTTTTTGTAAGGGAGGGAGTGCTTGCTTGAGCATCATAGATCGCATGAAAAGTAGAAATGATTGAATCAGCCATGGCCGTCCGATTCCCCGCCGGCGCAAGTTTCCGATCATCTGCCGACTTATTCCGTAACTTCTCTCTTTCTCTCTCTTTACGAGGACGTTTTTGTTTCTGAGAAATTTAAGCAAAGAAAACAAACGTTGCTGCCTTCCTCTTAGTTTTATTTATTTTGGTGTTTTAGCTTCTCTGAAAGTGAAAACTATACTTGAAAACCTCAAGCGAGCAAGAAATAATGCTCCGTGCTTCTGTTTTCTTTTCGAGATTTCCTGCATTTTCTCAGCCACCAAACAAGATTTCTAATTATTTTTTTTACTTGTGGCCTTGTAGATTATCGTCGTCTATGGAACTCCGACGAGGTTTCCTGCGGCCAAGTGGCGTCTAGCCGACGTTTGCTCTCTGGCTGCTTGAACACAGCTTGGTAATAAAGCTGAATACGTTTCCTTTTCTTGTTCTTCTTTATAGTTTGTTGCTTGGAAAACTTGCAAAGAGATAGAATCTAATTCTGTGCTATGCGAAACTTAATACAATACTTTTACTTCTAATTTTCTGTTGAGTGCGCTTAGGCAGATTTTTGAAGTAACATAGTTTTAAATCTTTACTTGATCAACCATTACTCATGTAAAGAATCTACATGGTATAGAAAATGATGCAACTCTGACTTCAAACTGTCTAAATTATACTTGCTCATTTAGGAGCCTAAATGAAGGCAATTTTATCCTTGGAAACCTATGACGTATGGAGATAAATCTGCATTTTGGATAGTGTCAATTTCGAGGTTAAAAATCTGCATTTGTTGAGTCAAAATAATGGTAGAGATACCGTATTTACATGTGATTTTAGCTTAAATTGTTTCAGAAGTTTTTCATCAGAATTCTTGTATTACTTCACATATATCTGTAAATATTTTAATATGTTATCAATGAGTTTGTTAAGGAATTTAATATTAATATTCAGGAATAGATTTCAGAGGTTTAATGGTGATTCGCTGTCAAGAAGAAGAAATATTAAAAGGAATAGGACTCAAGCAACAGCAGAACATTTGGGCTCAGCGTCAGATCCTATAAAACAGAATGAGAGGCCACATTATCATCCATTTGAGGATATTGCTGACTCAATGTCAGAAGATGATGGAGATGCAAGACTTACAGCTGCAGAAACTACTAGGACAATCATTGAGGTATTATATTGCATTCTTGGCAACCTATAAGAGTCTTTTTCTTTTCTTTTTTTTTTCGAGAAAGGGAATACAAAAGAGTTTTACTCGCTTATGGCCATTTTACTTACGTATGCTCGTGCATGAATAAAATAAAGTTCCTGCTCAGAGTGATGCAGAACCTTCCATGGACCTTCAGCAATGAAATTATTATATTCATTATATTTCCGCTTAGATTGGTGTCTTGATGGCTGTATGTAGGATATCCTCCAAGTGAGTAACGTTGATTGGTGTAGTATTAAAACTTTTGATGCAATATTCCAATTTTCTATAGAGAGATAAGTGATTGTTAAGCTCTTTATAAGGATTTAAATGACATATTACTAATAACTTAAGCTTAAGTTTTTTAGGACCAGTGGTTTAGATCTGAAAGCTGTTTTTTTTATAGATGAATTTGGATCTGAAAGCTGTTGAGCAAGTAGGATTTGGACATGGGACATTACAAGTAGTATCGGACCATATGCCAGCTTGATGCTTTGGGTTGGTGTTATCTTGAACCTTATAGATCTTTAACTTGTGATCTTGATGAAGACATTATGGATTTTATTTATGGAGATTGTGATACCTTAATCTCACATCAAATAATAGTGGTTGTTGAGCGTTGTATAAAGTTTTAAGTCATATATTATTAATAACTTGAACTCAAATTTTTGAGGATGAATGATTTTCAAACCTAGAATATTACATGTGATTTTCTTAATGTTCATTGAAGAAAGCAAGGAATGAGTTACCGCTGACTACACTCCAATATTTATATATTTTTCTATAACACCACTGCTGAAGGTTTAGAAATCTAATCTGTGCAGCTTCCGTCATCTAAAGTTGCATGCTTATTTCTGATTTGTCTTTTTAATTGTTTGCATACCTAATGTTACCTGTAGTCTGTTGTTTTCAGGTGAGCAGTAAAGCAACACTGATGATTACAGGTTTGATCAATGATGAAGTTCATGAGAACATTATTTGGCCAGATTTGCCATATCTAACTGATCAACATGGAAGTGAGTCGATTATTGGGAGTTTTTTACATACTTGTCCAGGTCCTCTTTTTAGAATGTGGTGATCCCATCCATTTAACTGAAGCATCAAAGTGCTTCTATGTGTTGCAGATGTATACCTTCAAGTGAAGAATGACGAAGACATTTTGCAATCTGTCACTTCAGATAACAACTTTGTGGTATGAAATATTTTTTTCTTTATTCTCTTTGTTTGGATATCTACACTGTAGCTTATAGGCACAAAAAGAGGATGCAGACCGTGAGTTTGTGTATGGATCATACATCATTTTTCTCCTTAATGCAAAAGCAGGCATAATTCTTTTCGCTTTGTCTTATCATTTGGTAAAAGAAAATCAAGGCCTCAATCAAATGTTTGTAATACACTATTATCGTCTTATTAACTTAAATTTTTAGAAAGATATTGCTAAAAACTCACGTCAAACATGGGTGTCTTTTCGCTTTGTCTTATCATTTGGTAAAAGAAAATCAAGGCCTCAATCAAATGTTTGTAATACACTATTATCGTCTTATTAACTTAAATTTTTAGAAAGATATTGCTAGAAACTCACGTCAAACATGGGTGTCTAATTGTCTAAAAGTATGTGCAAATTCATGTCTCCCTGAATGTAGACAAGTTTAAAACAATCTCCTGTACAATTTCTGCATTACTAGGCTTGCATATGCAGTTGTGTCGTGTTAGACAAAATCCTTCTTCCTTCATATATTACTTTACTAAAATGCTGCAAATACTCTTATTTAATTGCGAATTTCTCAAGGCTTTAATCAGTTCATGCACAATGTTGCAGCAAGTCATTATTGGGTTTGACACCTTGGAGATGATGAAGGAAATGGAATTAGCCGGTCCATCAGAAATTGATTTTGGAATTGAGGAGATTGAAGATGAAAATAGTGATGTTGAAGATGATGATGAAAGCGATGAGGATGATGGAGATGAAAATTATGAGGAAGTCTGAGTTTTTGTCTTCCTTTCGTGTATAATTAAGTGTTGCACTAGAAATTAAAGTTTCTAAAATAAATGGTGTAATTACCTACATGTCTCTCATGTATTAAATTCTTGTCTGTAGGATTGGGTCGCTGTTCTTGAAGATGAAGATGATCAAGATGATTCTGATGGGTTGCTTGGAGGCTGGGGAAATTTTGAGACTATGCGGTCCTCACATCCAATGTATTTTGCCAAAAAGCTGGCGGAGGTAGTTGTCAATAGAATTACATATACCAAGTGATATAAAATCCATGTAGTTCTTAGGTTCAAATTTCATTGAATGAGTCCCATTTACCCTCTTATGCCATCCATTAGGACATCTGGAATGAGTTTTCCCACCTGGCTGCCAAGTTTGCTTCAGATCCATATTATCATAATCTGTATTAGAGGATCTTTATGCTATGTGTTGTTCATCCTTATAATCAATCCATTTCTTTGTATCAAGTAAATTTGCTCCCCTGCTGTTTTAATCCTTGCTTCTTCCACTTAGGTTGCTTCAGATGATCCAGTAGATTGGATGGAGCAGCCTCCAGCTGGTCTAGCTATTCAAGGCCTTTTAAGACCCGCCGTCATTGAGGAACACTCTGATATTCAGAGGCGTATATCGAGCCATAGGTTGCGTACTTCTGAAATAAAGGAAGCAGAGGACAGTGCAGAAAAGAGTCAAGAGGATCTTGATATAATCAATGATGACAGACTTGAATCAGGGTCTTCTGAGGACAGTACAATGTCGGCAGAGGAAACAGGGAGGGAAGTCCCAATAAATGGTACTACGTTCTACAAGCTGGAGATGATTAAAATTCAATTGATTACAGAGCATGGCCATCAGGTAAGCAGTGCAGTTTCATACTTGTGTTATAATATTGGATTGGTGCTAGTAGACCCATAATTTTTTCTTGCTTTGGATATATATTTGTAACCTTTCAAATGCTGAAACTGACTTTTCATAGTTAATTTGTTTTTCCTATTGTATGGTTTGTTATCTCCTTCCTCATTGAGTAAACTATGGCATGCAAAATCATATGCGACCGACACCTGTCTTTGCTAGTCCACTGGAAAATAACCCACATGAGTTGCAAGAAGATAACTGTTGTCTCTGCTTGTCCACAGGCTGTTGTTGAAATGGAAGACTTCAGGCGGGCTCAACCAGATGGCGTTGCTCGCTCATCAGCCAAAATTATATCTCGTCTTAAAGCTGGTGGAGAAAAGACAATAGAGGCTCTGAAATCTCTCTGCTGTAGGTGTAAGGGTATTCAAGTGGAGGTAAATACAGGAACTTGCACATGAAGCATCCTTGCAAATTTTTTAGTTTAGTCAGCCTTTGAGGGTTTGAGTTGCTGCCTTTGGTACATATGATTGGTATCCAATTGAATGGAACACATTCTTAAAATTTCAAATATCCTCTTGATTTTGTACACAGTATTGAAGCATTAGAAACACGAATGCCAAAGGTCTTAGATCATCCTCAACTACTATTGCATCACCGTATGATACTTAAACATTTACAGTCATAAAGTGGGATGAAGTATAACATTTGAATCATTCTTGCCTTCTCTGTAGTTTATATAGAACTTTGTTGGATATCTGAAGCCTTTTGTCTGATGTTTCTAGATATATGATATTTTCTTTTTGCTTCCTTTTTCAGGAAGCAACGGTTATCGGTATTGATTCCCTGGGCTTTGACATTAGGGTTTGCTCAGGAAGACAAATCCAAACATTGCGGTTTGCATTTAGCACTCGGGTATATCAGTTATCCTTCAAATTCTTCTTTCCTTAACTAATAGTTTTAACATTTATTTTCTCCGTTTTGGGAATGTGATTCTACAGACCAAACTATTTGATTTGCTCCATTGACCTTCTAAGTAACAGATATATTGCCCATGAACAATTATTAACTTTGCCCGTCTTGTTCCTATTGTTGCTCAACCAAGTTCATGAATTTATATTTTGGGAATTTCTGCAGCATATGTATTTGTCCCCAGGTTACCTTCTGTTTAAGATCTTGAAGTCATTAAATTTCTAATTACCCCCATTAAATTGTCTCTGCAGGCTCCTTCAGAGTCCGCCGCCGAGAGACAACTCAACGACTTACTATTTCCAAGGGCCCATCACAAGACACAAAGAAAGAAACATACTCATTAAAATGAATTTTGATGTTGTCAAATCAGCCCCTATTCCAGCTTAGCTCAAGATTGTGCTATCCCTCTTTCGCCATGAAAATGGAAATGCCAGTTTGCCAGGTTATATATTTTACCATCACTGCTTATTAATGATCATCGAAATCCATTTTTTTCTATGCATTTTCTTTGATTACATTTGACTCAGTCATGCTGCTTCATACCACTGGTGGTTGACGCTAGGATGCCAAAGAATCCATATGTACCTCACATTGAATTCCTAGTGGAGGAACAATTAAAATGCTGTAAAATTTTCATTAATAATTCGAGGAGCATTTACTTTCATGAATTTTTACCGCGTGATAATACATCTAAATACACTCCGTTAAACAAGTAATCTTCCATCAATAAACATATATGATATGTAGCATTAGGATGCTAAATTCTTCATAGCCAAAATGGTATCAGTCAAATAATCAGAAACTTGAACCCATTTGATAGAATGGTATCAGTTTAGACTATGAGGATGCACTTCAAAGTAAAGATTTGAACAAAGTTCTCAGTTAAGAAATTGTTTAACATAAAATCGCAAGGTTTATTCTGCGATTAAATATATAGGTAAAAAATTACTGAGAATTTAGGTACTAAACTACCTGTAAACTTAGACATTAAATAGAAAACATCTTTAGAAATTTAGAGCAAATTTGCCTATGAAGAATCCCATGTTGTTACCTCTAATTTCATTGTGACTCATGGCAATCTCAATGCTTCGTACACTAGTTGGGCTGCAAGAAGATCTACAACAGCAGAACCAACGGATTTAAACACTGTAACCTCCTCAGCATTCCTCCTTCCTTCTCTCTCTCCTTTAATCAACTCCACCAAGTTACCACAAACATCTCCCTGCTCAATCACTCCTCTCTCAAACGCACCCACCAGCTCCCCGGCCTCCACCAATGCCGCCTCATTGTCAATGAAAACTCTCCCCCTCCTAATCGCCTCGTCATCACACTCCCTCATCGTATGCGTGAATGATCCAACCAAATCCAAATGCGCCCCTGCCTTAAGTCTCCTTCCTTTCACTAATGGAGCCTGAGCGTTGGTGGCGCAGCTGATAATATCACCCAGTTCACAAATTTCATCCAGCGATCCACTGGTCTCAAAACAGACCCCGCCATGGTCTTCGCTTCTACGGAGAGATTCAACCAAATCCTCTGCTTTCTGCATTGTTCGGTTCCAGACAATCACTCTTCGCAGGCTGGGTCTCGCCGCTAGATGGGCCTTGATCAGGTGTGGTGCCAGATTACCCGCGCCGATCATGACGAGGACTCTGCTGTCTTCTCTAGCTAAAAACTTCGAAGCCAAGCCTGATACACAAGAGGTTCTATAAAGGGTCAGTTCGGTTCCGTCCATGGAAGCCAGGGCCTGACCTGTAATCGTGCTGAACAGATTGTAACTCGCTTGGACACCGGGTAGGTTTAGCGTTGAGTTTTGCGGGAAGTGGGTGACGAGCTTGACGCCAATGTAAGGAAATGAAGGGGAGGAAGACCAAGAGGGCATGAGGAGGAGAGAGGAGGAGGGCGAAACGGCGTAGCTTTGGCGGATTGGGGTGGTGATAGTCGCTGAAACTGCGGGGAGAGAATCGTGGATGTGGCGAATCAGGGAGTGATGAGTGAGCACAGAGCGTAGCAAATCGGTGGAGATTAAGACCGGAGAGGAAGCTGGTTTGGTTATGGCTGCCGCCCTGTTGTCCTTAGGATTTTTGTCGTCCGTATTCGAGGTTAAAGAGTTGGTAGCGTTCGAACTGGATGCCATTGAAGAGGATTTCTAAGATTGAATTGAAGCTTTATTTAATTTGTTTGTGCTGACTGACACCTGACCAGGGTTGGGGAAGAAGACGAGAGTCCAGCAACGTGAACTTACAGGGAAAATGAAGAGTTGAGCAAGACTTTCATCAGGCAATAAAAAAAGGTTAAGCTGTTCGCCTTTCGTTGCTTCAAATACTGGGAGAAAATGGCAGTAGGAGACAACAAACAATAAATTATGGGCTCGCCTGGAGAGCCCAACGCCTACTGAAAATCACTGGGCCAACTTCACCAACACCGACCCACTTGTTTGGGTACATCATTTGTCTCCTAAAAAATATGTTTATTCCGCGTGTCGTCATGAAAGCCAAGTTCAGTCGGTCTAAACAATTTTTCAAAATAAAATAAAATACCATTTCAAAAAAAAAAAAGAATAAAGTAAAATATATAAACCATTCTCGACTGAATACTTAGTAATTCAAACTCTCTTTGAATGCATGAATTTGAGCTCTGTGCTGTAAGTCCCTTGTCGTATGACAATTAACTTTTACAGAGAGAGAGAGAGAGAGAGAGAGAGAGAGAGAGAGAGAGAGAGAGAATGGAATAAAATATAATAAAATTATTAGTAACATAATCTATTTTGTCTGTCATCCTATCGATTTTAATCATCTATTTAACAACCGGATATTCTACTGCCTTGGAGAAAAAAATAGGGAAAAGGCAGTGGCCGACTGAAGACTTGAAAAACATGTTAAGAGACACAGCTCGGCTATGGAACATCAATAACATGACCTAAAAAATGACTCTTCATGCTGTTAAAACATACGTATCTGCCCAAAAGAAGCATCAATAAAATGACTTGAAAAATGATTCTCCTCCTCTCCATGCTGGTAAACATTTCCTTGAGAGTATGTAGCATTTCCACTACTCTCTCTTTTTCCTTCAGCTAACCTTTAGCTTCTAGATTTTCTTTTTTGACACTTAACGAATCAGTTCGAGTGCGTAAGTTCAGCCTGGGACAGGGTCCATTCCGCAGCCATCCACCAGCCGTCATCTTCATCCTCGGTGATCTCCTGTTGCAATAGACAATCAAGTCATAATAAAAATGTTCTGTAGATCAGCAGACGGTAAAGTCTAAGGTTAAAGACTGTGTTTGCTGAGCATCTTATCAGCCAATATGAAGGTAGACCGTACACCAACTCCAGTAGAAAACAATAGTGATATCATCATTACTGCTGCTGGTATTTATCTTTCATATGGGAAAGGTAAAAGCAAAAAAACAGTTGGCTCCAAGAAAACAAAATTCGAGATTAAATTATATGATCCGCTTGAGAGCCCCCAAAACATGTTAGAATGTATAACAAATATGGTCTTTTTTACTGTGAGATAGACAGAAAGGTATGGATTCCTCTTAACACTGGTTTGATCTTTTCCGATCTTTTCATTTAATGTCATAAGCTTCTCGAAAGGCCCAACAACTGATTTCTGAATCGTGGCATAGTGGTTGTGTCTATGGCATCAAGAAGTTAAATTAAATAGAGTGGTGGTAACAAATATTTATTTAGTAAACTAACCATGTTGATGAATCCCAATTCCTTTGGTTTACTTTCGAGATCATCTGCAACTTTTACCGCTTCAAGCCACCAGGACTTCTTACTGGAACACTCTACACTGTGTCCATTGTTGCTTTGCGAAGAACCCAATTCCTGTTCAGTATAAACAAACTGGTCTTTGAAGTTATTAATTTGTTTTTTGTGATGACCTGTCTGCCCCGAACCAAAACAACATGAAGGATCAGGAATGATATCCATCGGCACTAGACACAATGGAGACCGGTAGCCTGGTGAATCAATAAGATTAGCTTTTAATTGAGCTTCATTCAACCAAAAAATCTTCACCTTCGTACCAATTTCTGAAATTAAACCAAAAGAAGAAAAAAAAAAGAGTAGGCACCTCTGCAATCTGGGTCATGACATTTCTGGTAATATACAGCTCTTCCCAGGTCAACAACATACATCACTGCACCAGTAAAAATTCAAGTGCACATTGGCCTATCTTGTCTTTAAAAAGGACAAATAATGGAAACTTGAAGGAAATTACAATAGATTTACCATGATTGCTTTTATGCTGTCGACCAATTCGCGCACAGTATCTATTTCTCAACATGCTGTAGACAATCAATCCATATTCCGAAAACCAATACCAGCATCTTATTTTCCCTAAAATCGTATTAGCAAGTGATTGAGTACCAAGGAAATTAAATAAAGATACCTAGCAGATGTGCTTGCATGCCAATATAACTTTCCAGTTGAGTCATCAAGTTTAAGAAAAAAGCTGGAGAATGCCTAATATAAATTCTTCAGTAAAGTATAAATAACAAAAGATACCATGATAAATGGAAATAAGAAAAATGGCAGTTGGTGGCTGATTGATGAAGTTCAAATATTGAGAAACTAACAAATAAAAATGATGACAATAAATATAAGATAAAACCAGAAAAATAATCGCATTTATGCTTCTATAGATTTGCTCCATAATCTAAACAATCAGAATAACATGGAACCACCTGAGACGTTCCCAATGGTAGCAATAGATTCTATAAAATGGTCCAACACTGGGAAAGGTGATTTTCCCATGAGGTATGATGATGGAACATCACTAGTGCTAGCATTTAATTGAAATTCCTGAGAAGAACTGGACCATCTTCCAATATTATGGTTAACCTGCATTACGAATAAGACATCATAGTGGTTTATCCTCAATTTGAATAACATTGCATCAAGACACTTCATACCAAATTGGCATTATATACGCATGAAAAAACTGATCAATACTTCAAAAAACTGAGCTACCCAGGGTATGGAAGATTACAAGAATGCACAGTTCTACTTAACTATCACTTAGTATTGCATCCCTTCATATCCTTGACTCTCCTTATATGAAAGAGTGTATGCAACAAAAAGTAAGCCCAAAAAATGCTAATAATTGTGTCCAAGTACAGCGATACACTACTAGAAAGAATTCTTGAGTCTGGATTACCTCTGTATCAAACTGCAGGGTCTTCACACACTCTAACTCCATTTTGCAGACAAGAAATTTCTCACAATCAACATCCATATTGCAGATCAAGGATGCCATGAACATGTCTTCCTCATGCTGACATTCAATATGATGGAAATGTTCAGCAAAACTACTTGAGTGCAGAGATTAATTAATAAAGTGTCAAAAGAACCCAAATGAGCAGCTCTCTGCATTAGAGGTGCTTGCTTCTAGATGATTGGCAAATCACCTTGTTGGCATGTTATTCTACACCTCTAGGGACTGTTCAACTCTTCCTAGGAAGTGAAGTAGTTGCGCCCATGCACGAACAGATGCATATTCACACAGAGGAGAAAGGAAGAGAAATTCCCAAAGTCCAAGCATATACATCCTAACCAAATACTTGAAAGTAGAGTGCCAGTGGAAACAGTGTAGAGCTTCCATGCACTCGAGAACTAATTTGTATGGTAGCAAATAAAGCCAGCAACCCATTGTTTGGCAGCTACAAGTACTACAATTGAGAATCATTCTCAAGTGGAAGTACACATACCATGCCATTACATTTGAAACGCCCCGTAGGCAAAAGGACAGACGTTTTTCCTGCCTTTGAAGATAGTGGCAAACGAAAGCAACGATTTCTTGAGTAGACAGCAGTGTCCACAAAAAGGTGGCTTGACAAGTCAGATGAGCAGGAATCTTTTTTTATAAACAATTTCCCAAATCTTCCCCCTTCCCCGGTGCTTACTATCCGTGAGCATATCTGATAATATGTCATCACATGACAATAATTGATATTGCTACAAGAGAGAAGAAAAGATAGTAACTAAAGCAGATTTTTCTTTTTGTGGAGAAACTATATGCAATAGATTTCTCTTCTTGGAGAACGAATAAATAGTTGATATTCGCAGAAGAATACCTCAGCAACAAATGCACCCGTGTGAGAGTTGTCCTTAAAAGCAGTTTCTGGTATACGGACAATTAAGTGACGAGAAAACTTATCTGTGTATGAAAATTGATGTAATGATTAATTATAAATACACTCCTTCAAAATATTCAAGCAAAACCAATAATTTTACTAGGACTAGCAACATATTCTCGAGAGACATTAGTGGTATCAATCAGCTTATTCGAACAAGCTGCTCCATTTTTGTGAGAATGTTAAAAACTAAAACAAAAAAGTAAAGAAAACCACAATTGAATTGCTAAATCAGCAGAGTTAAATAAACACAAAAGGAAGCATGGAGCTCATAAAACCTGCTGTAGAGGAATCGAGCTCAACTACCCAATCATGATTTCCTTCAATAGAGTACTTTTCGAGCAAGGCTTCGAGAGTGACTGCAATCAAAAGATCAACCATCTCATCACCATCTTTTCCCACATTGTCTCCTTTATTGAACTCCAAGTCAAAGTAGAGATGGCATGGTAAACCCTGGAAGCAACACATCATCCCACTGTGATGATTCCACATCTTTTGTAGGATGCTTTTTGTAACTAGAGGAATAAAATTATTCTTGTGCACAGTTTCAGCTTTTTTAAGGTTTTATCTAACCCTATTACTAAACACAGACAAGGATAAATGACAAGAACACAAATTGAGATGCAGATAATGGGGAAAAGACCTCCTGAACCACTTCATAATGGTGGCGGTATTTTGAATCCATATTTTGGTACCTGGATTTAAAAAGAAGAATAAGCACAACAAAAAATTGAGAAATAAGTGATCAAGTTGTCTTTAAACTCATCTAAGTACACAAGAATAAATAGAAAAGAAAACCTCTTCCAGAACTCCTTGTATGTAGAGGCAAGATATCTTCTTTGTCCATTAAAATGATCTTGATAACTAAAAATACGTAGAAGTTCATTTCCTTTTGCAAACTTCATTGCTTCCTCCTGCCTTGGAAATGTGGCCCACACTTCACTGCTAAGTGGATAAGAATGGAACCACATAACACTATAAATAACTACAGTACATTAAGAGAGACAAACTGAAGGTATTGCCTAAAAAAGCATTATACTTGATTCTAGGGGAGAAAACAAGAGTGCAAAACCCAAGCTATACAAGTACCTTAAGGTTGATTTACTTTGTTCTTTGAGATCAACATGTATTTCACGTAACAATCGCAACAAACTCAATGGCCTTTTTGGAGGAACTCCATGTGGCGACCCATAAAACACGACTGGAGAGATCTGAGTGCGGTGGTTAAATTTGTCTGTAACCATTGCAGAGCCAGACTGAAGGGAACATAAATATCGATGAGAGCATTGAACCACCTGGTATAATAAACATGGATGTCTGGCCCCATAATTCAGGTATTAACTCAGGGACCAAACTTAGTTAGACATGAAATCTAGCGAATGCACCAACACAAAAATGCATGTTCCCCAAACAATAAAATGAAGAATGCTTGATTGCTGCCCTCTAACAAATAATGAGCACCTCATCCGCCCTAAAACAGCTAAATATAAAACTTCGAAGACAACAAAAGTAGATTACACACTTTTTCCATGCAGAGATGCGCGCCTGCTGCATTTGCTTGTCCTCCTCCTGCTGATACCGGAGATTTCATACCAACGGAAGCAGAGACTTCGCATGTCGAATCTTCTTTGTTCAATTTGCTTTTGCTTCTTTTTTTTTCTCTCATAGCAGATGCTGAGAAGTAAGTAGAACAATGACGTTTTAAAGTTCCAAAGCACATACTCTATCATATGAACGCATAAAACACAGCAATCCAAACAACATCTCTTCAGCATACTTACAGCAACCACTTAGCTTTTATAAAACAGCACTTGCATTTATTGAGATCAAAATTCACACCAATAGTTGCCATTTTTTCCTTTCTCTGCAATTTTCAGGTCTAATTTGGCACATTCTAAACGTGCATTAAATTGATTTACACACAAACATAAACCCTAACTCAGCGTTTTATTTATGAAGAAACCTGATAAACATAATCCATAAACACAGGTCAATACTCCCTCCGCGACTGCCAGATTAGAGACAACAAAAGATCAAGCGGAAAACATTAAACGTAAAATTTTCACTGATATTTTCCAGGAAATTTTCCTGGAACCACCAAACAAAGAGCGGCACTAACGGAAAGGAAAGAAAACGAAACGTACCAGGAGGAGAAATGCCGCACTTGAAGCATTCGAACAATCGATCAACATCTTCCTTCGTATTCGTATTTGCGTTCCCTGACATTTTTCTTCTGGATTCGTCCTTCTTCACTGTTTAGGCGGGAATTCCACTTCCAAACTGGAAGCATCGCGAGCAGGAAAATGCCCGCGGTGTTTACTTCTTTAAAAAAGGCGGAACCAATAAAAACATATAAATTATCAAATAATTATTACAAATTGGAAAAAAAAAAATATTTTAAAACATATTTTATTATTCTTATTTATATATTATTATTATTATTCGTGTAACATAAATAAAATAAAATAATTATTCTTGGTAAATTTATTGAATTTAAATTGTTTTATTTTTAAAATTCTTACATAAATCATAATAATATAAAATAAAAATTACTCCTTTAAAATTTGCTGTCAAAATTTTTATAATTAATATAATTTTATTTATTATAAAAATAAATTGTACCGAAAAAAAATTTAAAATTTTTATTATAATATAATAATATCATGTATACATATATACATGCACGTAAGTATATATAAATATATATGCAAATTCATAATAATAATATTATGCATATATATTTATATGTATGTGTGTATAAAATTAAAAATGTATATAACATATTTTATAAAAAAGACATGATTTTTTATAAATTTATAAAAAATATATTTTTATTATAAAAATATATAATTAATAATAAATATATATAAAAAATAAAAAATTTATTTAGACTTGAATTATATAGTATGAATATTACTCGAAACTCTAACAATATTTTTTAAAAAAAATTTAAAAATATTAACAATTAAAAATTATTCTTTTCGTATTAAGTTTATTCGTAATATTTACAAAAGTATATATACATATAATATATATATATATATATATACACACGTGGATTGTATATTTAAGTGAAAACTTGTACCTCATCCTCCCTCTTCTATGTCTTTTGCCCCTTCGTTCAGATCGTTTTGGGCCATGCTCTTGAGGGGTCAGCATCCAATCTAACCCTAACCCCTGCCCTTTAACGAGTTTTTTTTTATTTAATTTTTAAATTTTAATTATATATAAAATACGTAAAATATATTTTTAATACACAAATTAACCAATTTTATTAATATATTTAATTTTATATTTTTATTTATTATAAAAAAAAAAATTCGATTTGAATATAAAATTAATTTAGAAAATATAATTTCAATTTAATGACGTATGCATTCGTCTGCCATTAGACAACTAAAACAACCAAACTCAGCTGGTGTCATCTTTGTCTACTTTCACCTGCTCCAATCCACTCTGATTTTTTGTTCTTATGTTCTTGTAAGCATCATTTGATTGATGCATAGTTAGATTTTGCACAGCATCATCGGACAGAAAATGAAGGGTACCATTCAACGTACGGTTTCGAGATATATATATATATGTATATGTATATGTATATGTATATGTGTATGTATGTATGTGTGTATATATTTGTATTACGTTCGTTTTGTGGTTCAAGTTTGCTTAATCCTTTTTTTTTATATTTTGGCTGCAGTTGGGAGTTTCAATTCTAAATTCTAATGACGCTGGAGCGGGTGTCATCATTTTTCACTTTCCCATTTTATATCATCTCCTCAAGAAGACCTCCTTGAATCAAGCATTCCCTTTTCATTATCTCCCACTACCTATACGTATAGCTACAGACGTATATAAATAGTACAGCAGGATACTGAATGCAAAGGAATTTGTTTGGAATTAATTGAAGGAAGCTGATCCAAACCCAAAATGGCTGCAAATGATGTGCCATGTTGTGAGCCCATGTTCTGGGTGTATCTGGTTATATGTACAGCTCTTGTGTCTTTTGCTGGTCTCATGTCAGGCCTTACTCTAGGACTCATGTCCCTCAGTTTAATGGATCTTGAGATCCTCGCCAAGGCTGGTCAGCCTCAGGACCGTAGAAACGCAGGTTCGTCCCTTTCTCCATTATGGACTTCATCATCCTAACATCTTCAATTCAACAAAGTTACTGTTGGTACCTTGCATAAGATAAGATAAGATAAGATTCCAAATCATATCACTATAAAGATTCGTATAAGAATTCTCGATAATTTAAGTTCAAACTTTCCAAAATAGTTATTTTGATCTAAAAACTTGTTGAACTAGTAGTGTTCGTGTTCGAAACATTACATCGATACTAACTATTCGAACTAAATACGAATGGGTAATTGTAGGTCTTACCTTGAATTGGTACCAAATCAACAATACATCTTGCACTTGTCTAAAAAATTTTACCTTGGCAATTATGTTTGTTCTTTTTGTAAATTGCAGAGAAGATTCTGCCAATAGTAAAAAACCAGCATCTACTCCTGTGCACGCTTCTCATAGGCAATTCTCTGGCAATGGAGGTACATATACAGATAGACATACATATGTATAAATATAGATAGATTGCTTATTCTGTATATATGTTATATACTTTTCAAGCTTTAAATACTTATTCCTATTTGTGTTCCACAAATTTAGGCTCTGCCAATCTTCCTTGATGCCCTTCTTCCAGCTTGGGGTGCCATATTGATCTCAGTCACTCTCATACTTGCCTTTGGTGAGGTAAGAACTCCCACTCCCACTCCCACTCCCTAAACTTGTTATCTTGATTTATCAACATGATTACTCCTATTTTCTCTTATAGATAATCCCTCAAGCCGTATGTTCTCGTTACGGACTTAGCGTCGGGGCAAAATTATCGATCCTCGTTCGATTGATTGTCATCGCCCTCTTCCCTTTAGCCTATCCAATTAGTAAGGTAATTCGCTTTCATCGTTCCCTCATGAAATATTGAATATACTTACATATATGATTGAATTCAAATCGCACGTATATAAATAATTTCAATCATATACAATTTATATTATATATTTGATTATTCTTTCATTTCTAAGTA